GTCTCCCAAGAAAATTATACCATCTTAAATAATACAAAAATTACTGGGTAGATCAGGGATGCTGTAGAATGATGTATTTCTGTGTGATGTGATGTACGCATTGCACTGTGTACATCACTATGTGTTGTGTCAGAACCCTGATGTTATTAAATACAGTTCCACTGGTGTCCCTAATAAATATGTACCTAGCACAGCACACTGCAGCATCACCTTTTCATTCATTTCATGCCCACAGCAACAATATCAGCTACAACTCTGAGACAAAAACAAAAATTATCCTATTTTTACAGCACATCCTTTGCCACAAAAAAGAAACAGAACAAACCTTTAAGAAACAAACTTTGAGCAAGGATTGAAGCTTTGCGCTTCAAAGGTCAGATTTAAAAATTATTTTTCATATTGCTTCAGTACTTCAGTAACTGAAAGTGTGTTTTGAAACAATGAGCCAATGAGAAAAGGCTACCTTTTAATATACTAGTGTTTCTATTTTTGCCTCAAAGCACCAATGATCAAAATAGCAGAATAAGATATAATTGACTCACATAAACATATGACAGGATCATGCTCTTTAATTTGGAAGTATGTTCTAATAAAATCTTTCTTTTCTTTTCTCTTCTCTTTCTCTTTTAATTTCTTTCTAATTTTTTTTTTTCTCTTTTTTTTTTTGTTTAAGACTTTTTCTACCTTTCCTGTCAACTACATGATCTGATCTAGTGGGCTCTCAGGTTATGTGCAAGCTACCACAGGACGCACTAAGGGCTGTGTTTCATACCTGCCCTTGTATGGTAGCTGGGTTATCATGGAGTAACTGCAGTGATTCCAGTTTACGATCTAGGAAATTAAAGGCTGACTTGTGTGCCAACACTAAAAGCTATTTTTTCCACATAATTAGTTATGGCAAGGGCTTTGCTCCATTTAATTTCAGGTCTTGTTAGCTCTTTTAGTCTGTGGTGAGTGTTGTGGGTAGTAGTTTGCTTTGCCCATCCACAGTGCTTACCTGAAGGTAGCAGTAAGTTGGGAATAAGTGGGAATAAGTTTTTTTGGCTTATTATCTGAGGCTAGCTGCCTCTTGTGAGGTGCAAGGCTGCAGGTCCAGTTGTCCGACCTCTTTCCTCGTGTATGCAACTTGCAATCCCCTTCTCCATCTGCAGCATCAGGAGCTGAGTGGCCAAAGCTCTTCCGCTGCTGTCTTTGGGATAAATCTGTGTTCTGGTATTTCATCAGTGGATTCCAGGACATGTAAGCTTTCTGGTGAAAGAAGATTTCTCTCTGTCCTAGAGGAAAGAGCCTTCTATTAGCTATGAGCTCAGAGCAAGTTTCACTAACAGGTTTTAACACACCATCTCCTGTATGTCTCTCTTGAAAGCAGCTATGTCGAAAGCTACATAGGTATTTTGAAGCAGAGCTGTTTCTTTTTTAGCACTACAATCCAGGTGGCTGCAAGAACTTTCCCTTTTAAAATGAATGTAAAGCAAAAGCAGGGAAAACACAAGGTCTGAAAGCTGTGCTGAATAAAGACCTCATTCTTGATTCAATAGAAAAGCTCCCCTGGTTTCAAACATTTTGGTCAAGAACTTTCTGAACTGAGAATCAATGACTTACCAATCATTTCTTTCTTAGTCAAGGAAATGCTGTGGGCAGAAAATACATTAGTTTTTTGGTTGTGGTTGGTTGTTTTTATTCACCATGAGAGGTTTGAATGCAACTTTAAAAAAAGTCTCCCAAAGTACTCACCTTTCCAGTTCTGTTACATGATGTTTATTTTATGCTACCCTACTGTGTAGATACAGGCTTCAACCAGGCTGGTCGATTTCCCCATCCCAGCTGCTCTTGCACTTGCTTCCAAAGCTGCAGCAGCTCACTGTCTTGCCATGCTTGTTCTTGCAGCTGCAGGGGAAAGAAATACGATAATAAAAGAATCATAGGGGGAATCATAACTCCTTTCTTTTCACTTCAGGAACTCAGATGTCCATTTGGCCCGAGTCTTGTAGTTTATTACTAGGCTAGTCTATTACTCTTGGGCATAGTGGCCCATTACATTGGGATTGAAGTGTGAGGATTGTACCTTTTTTTGGCATTTCCCAGTGGCGACATCTACCGTGGAGCGGGGAGGAGACCACTAGCACCTGCACAAAAAAGCTTGCAGCTACAAGAAATACTTTATATACTTTATATTTTAATTTATGTACACTCATGTATTTACATACTTTGTATCTTCAAGTCAGCACAGCTTTCAGTCCTTGTGTTTTTCCCTGCCTTTGCTTTATGCTTGTTTTTTCTCCCCTGTACATGTTTTCTGAGGTGATGATCCCATGCAAACTAGCTTTACATCATCACAGCAAAACTGTACTGAAATGGGCAGTCAACCTTTTATTTAATTTTGTGTCTTTTTTTCTCTACGCACGTTGGCATTTCTTCCACAGGGAATGAAAAATCTATTTCCTCCGAAGAGCCCTCCTACTCTTGTACATTCTCTTCCATATCTATCTTAATCACCATGCTTTAGGAAAATAGTCAAACTGGTCTTTGAACTGCTCTTTTATAGACTGCACATCGCATAGTGTTTGGGCCTGCCCTAAAATGGGGTATATACACTTTTAACTGATAAAGCGAGATCCCTGTCAGTCTGATGGTGTTTGTAGGTGTTTTCATTTTTTTTTCCACAAAAGGGGCCAGACATGCACATACTAAAGCTAAAAAGTAAAACTTTGCTTAAAACTTGCAAGACGTGAAATACTACCCCAGGGCCAGGAGGAGCCTGTGACGAGCCCCCATTGCTCCTGCCCAGACCGCCATCTTCTGTTCGGGTAAGGGCGCTGGCGTCAGGCGGCTCCGCGGCACCATGGCACTGGCGGCCATGTCGAGCGCGGGCAACAGGCAGAGCGCCAGCGTCCATCGCGAGTGAGGGCGAAATGGCCACCGGAAGGGGCGGTACCCGACGGCCCTTCCCGAGGGGCGGTGCTGCGTGACGCCCGCTGGGCTACACACGCCATTGGACTGCCGCCTGCGTCGGAGATTTCCGGTGCATTGGAGGGAGGCAGTGTCCGCGGAGGGACCTGTTTAGGAGGTGCATATAGGGGTCCGTGGGGTGGCTGGGGCCGGGCGGTACCTGCGGAGAGGTGGGCTGGAAGGTGAGGGTGCGGGGACGGCGGGGCTCGGTAGCGGAGGCGCTGTACACTCGCGGAGGAAGGGATGGGCCTAAGGGACGGTACGTGCGGGGCTGTCGTGGGGCGCAGCTGTCGGTGTAGGGCTGCCCAGAGGCAGTAGCAGGTGCGGGGTGTCGGCCCCCGGTGTAGTGCTGGAGCTCCGCGAGGTGCTGGAGGGGTGTGCAGCCGTGGGTGCGGACCATGGGGGAGGGCCCTGGGTGTGCCTGGGGTCTGTGGCAGGAACGTGTGGGGCAGACAGAAACAGTGTTGGGGGACGTCCCTGGGGATTGGTGGGCATAGGCGCAGTGGCATCCTACATGTGTTGGGAAGCCAGTGGGCCTGGAAAAAGTTTGCTCTCTGCAGGTGATTGAAGGTCATCAGAATAGATGACTTTTTGCCAGTGGAAGGTGCGGGCTTCGCCAAGTGGAGATGTATTTTGGTTTACGTATAAGAAAGAGGATGTTAACCCCAAGAGGGGGATTAAGATAAAGTTGAGACTCTGCCATGGGAGGACAGTCAATCTTTGCTGAGTGAGTGTATCAGTTTGGGAAGAGAAGAATGTGCATAGCCCAGGACTGAGGGTAAGGTTGAGTTCCTAAAGAAAAGAGAGGGTCTCTGGTCATGGAAACTTGGTCAGGTCCTGGTGTACAGTATGGGAGGATCTGAGTAGTGGAGAGAAGGGGATGTCTAGCTGTGGAGGATGTTGGTGTCAGGAGGCAATAGAAGAAATATTTTGTCCATGGACAAAAAATCTGACAACAGTGTCTTGTGGCTCCCTGGACTCATAGGCAGCTGATGTTTATAGTAACACCTATTTCATCCACTCCCTCCAGTGGCCTAGTCATTCTAGGCCAAACCAGTGCAACCTGAACTGTGTTGCTAAAAGGAGGAAAATGGTTAAGTGGAAGTTTTCTTTTTTTTTTTTTTTTTAATTTTGATATGTATTAAATATTTACATTAAAAGACAGGTTATAGGAATGCTATTATGTGGTACTTAAGTAACTTGTTTAGAATTAATCCCTATGTTGTTGTGCATATGTGAAGGGCAATGCAAAGCTAAAATGTTTTTTTTAAGCTGTAAAATATGGCAAAGCAGCATAGCAGCTTAATCCTAAAAATACAGCAGCTTTATTACTTTCAGTAGAACTGCTCAAGTAAAGCTAACACATAAAAACTGTCATGTTCAGTTTGTAATCCTTAGATTAACTGTAAATGCCATTATAGATTTAAATGGAATGATACAGATCTTATTTTATGGTCTGCGTTTCACTCTACTTCTGAGTTCCATGTAGTTTAGAGGGAGAGAGAGAGCTGTGGATTGACATTCACAGCATCAGTGAATGCGGGAGAAGAATGCTGCTTACATCTCATGAAGATCTGCTTGGTTTTGTGTTCTGTCACTAGCTGATATATTTGTTTTGAAAACCCTATAAGAAGATATTTATTACTTTGCTAAGAAATATTTTAGAGAACCACAAGAAATACTGTTCAAACATAAGAAAAACCTGGTTTAATAGTGAGGATCATCAAGTGCTGGGAGAGGTTGCCCAGAGACATTGCTGAGTTTCTTTCTTTGGCGATAAGCAAAAGCTGACTGGACAAGGCCCTTAGCAGCCTCCACTGGTTGACCCTGCTTTATTCAGGAGCACTGAGGAGGTGATCTCCAAGACATCCCTTCCAGCCTCAGCTGTTCTGTGATTCTGAAACTAGTAGTCCAGAGCTTTTCAGACTGCATTAACTTGGGATAAATATTCTTCAAACATGTCTGTGTCTCTCTTCGTACAAAGGAAAACTCTTCAAATAGATATAAACCTTGGCTTGGAAGTTCCATAGGATTTGTAAGTTTTCTGTGTAAGGCCTTCCAGGTCTTATCTTCAAGGTGTTGCTGTCCTTGGCTTTAATTGACTTTGAATGCTGAATAATAAGAACAATTTTGTTGTTATGAAGTGAACTTGTGCCGTATATACATAGGCCCAGTTGCTTGCTAAAGTTTAACCCAGACAATTTTTGTTAATACAGAGAGAGATCAAAAAAAACACAGACTGAACCTGCATGAAGATTTATTTTCCAAAGAGTGTGATAAGGTACAGTGTTTCCATTTTGACATTATAGAGCAGTGGGATTTTTTTTCCCATCGATTTGCTGTTTGCAGTGCTAATCCTAGTGGTGTCTTGTAAGACTTAATGTTTGCCCAGTATTTTCTGAAACTTTTTAAGTCCTGTCATCTGCACTGTGTTGGCATCTTGTTACCGTGATGGATTGACTGTGTTAAAAACCCTTAACTAGATTGATTGTGTGGGTGTGTGTTTGCTGTTTTTTTTTAAGAGTGCTTTTTAATATTCAGAGGAACTTGGAGAAGGCAAGAGTCTATATGCTTTGGCCACCATGTCTGGAGTTGGCAGTAAACGGGCAGCTGGAGAGCCTGGTCCTTCTGCACCTCCAGAGAAGAAGGCAGGGGTTGAAGATTCAGGAACCACTGTGGAGACCATAAAGCTTGGTGGTGTTTCTTCAACGGTATGTCTTTCTCACACACCCCCACTCAACCTCTCACATTTTTTTCAGCTGGAAATAAAAATAGCTCTCTGCCTTCTGAATGAGTGTAGAGATCCAGCTTGTGTGCAGTGTGCTCTGACATGTGCCTCTCTACAGGAGGAAATGGATATCCGGGCCCTGCAGACCAAGAACCGGAAACTAGCAGAGATGCTGGACCAGAGGCAAGCCATTGAAGATGAGCTACGGGAGCACATTGAGAAGCTGGAGCGTCGGCAGGCCACTGATGATGCCTCTTTGCTGATCATCAATCGATACTGGAATCAAGTTAGTAACATGCTTTGTTATTTTGTATACACTCTTCTCTTGCCTCTTTTTCTGTTCCACTGCACTCCTTTTTTTTCACATCCATTTTTTGTCTTGTCTGTCCCATCATTCAGTTTGATGAAAATATCCGCATCATCCTTAAGCGCTTCGACCTGGACCAAGGTCTTGGAGACCTTTTGTCTGAAAGAAAAGCACTGGTGGTACCAGAACCTGAACCAGACTCGGACAGTAATCAGGAGCGCAAAGATGAGAGAGAGCGAGGTAAGGCACCTGACTGGGGACAGTGGAAAAGGTGGATTTCAGTGGTGGACAATGTTTATGTCCCTTTCTAAAAAGTGACAGAGGCTCTCTGATTGTGAAGACTAGTGATATGCTGCCTGGCAAAGCACATTTACATTTTTTGCACTTCTTTCTGTTCACAGGTGAAGGACTTGAGCCGGCATTTTCATTCCTAGCCACTCTAGCCAGCAGCACCAGTGAGGAGATTGAATCTCAGCTGCAGGAGCGTGTAGAGTCTTCCCGCCGTGCTGTTGCCCAGATTGTGACAATGTATGACAAACTGCAGGAGAAAGTGGATGCGCTGTCCCAAAAGGTGAACAGTGGAGGTATGTCCAAGGTGGCTGATCCCCCTTCAAGAATCCTTAGCTACCCGCAGCTTAGACGTGATTCTGCATTGTAAGTGTTAAGGCGTTGTCCTCTTCTCAGTTGGGATAGGGTTAATTTTCTTCCTAGTAGCTGGTGTTCCAGCTTTCGTCTGAGAACAGTGCTGCTAACACACCAGTGTTTTAGTTGTTGCTCAGTAGTTCTTACCCTAATCAAGGACTTTTCAGTTTCATGCTGTGTGAGGAGAGGCACCGGAAGCCAGGAGGGAGCAGAGACAGGACACCTGACCCAAACTAGCCGGAGGGGTATTCCATACCACAGCACATCATGCCCAGTATATAAACTGGGAGGAGTCACCTGGAAGAGCAGGTTGCTGCTTGGGTCAAGCTGGGTGTCGATTGGTGGGTGGTGAGCAGTTGGATTGTGCATTACTTGGGTTTATTTTTTTTCCTTTCCCCTTTTTAGTTTTATATTCTCTCCCCTTGTTATTTCCTTTATCGTTATTAGTAGTAGCAGTATTTTACCTTATTTCAATAATTAAAGTTTTCTTATCTGCACCCTTGGGTTTTACTGTTTTTCTAGTTTTCCTCCCCATCCCATTCATTATGGGGAGAAGTGAATGAGTAGCAGTGTGGTACTTATTTACCAGCTGGGGTTAAACCGTGACAGACATAGTCCTTCTCATGCTTATTTATGTTCCAAAATAAATTAGCTTAGCTTTCCAAACTCTCAATAACCAAAACCTCTAATAAAGACTAGTACTGCATGCTAGAAATGTATTGTAGCTGCCTCTAAATGTGAATGGTGAGAACGCTGTTGGGCTAAGGAAAGGCTTGTTCCTGCCAGTAGTATGTTCGTGCACCTGAGAAGTTACAGATTACAGTTGAACCAGCTAGCTGTCCTCAGCCACTGCAAAAAAAGAAGTAGTGAAATCAGTATTGCAAGCTGATGTTGGACTCCTTCTCACTTTGAGTTTAGCAAAGGGATAGCCAGCTCCTCAGTTACAGCTGAGTTTTCGGCAAAATAGTAGCCATCTGATGTCTTGGTATGCCCAGTGTCAGTTTTGAATACAAAACAGAGCTCTGCAGAAGAAAGCCAAATGACAAGCTTCTGAAAATTAATGTAGCAGATTTGATTTACACTTAGATGACTCTCTGAAAAACTTAAGCTTAGAATTTTAATCTGTTGAATGAAAATTTAGGTGGGATATCAAGTCATCCTCCTTGGTTTGTATTCCATCCAATGTTCTATATGCTTTGATCAAGGAGCTCTGGAAGGTCTAGCATTGGTGTAGCGAAGCATTACTGTCCTTAGTTGGCAGTCTTGAACTCTGTACTAGTATTGGCATTAGTGCAATATGAGCCTGTACTCAGTTGCTATAATTCCTTACTGTGAGGGTGGTGAGACACTGGCATGAGTTGGCCAGAGAAGTTGTGTCTGTCCCATCCCTAGCAGTGTTCAAGTCCAGATTAGATGGGGCTTTGAGCAACCCGGTCCAGTGGAAGTTGTCCCTGCCTGTGACAGAGGGTAGGAACTAAATGATCTTTAAGGTAATCCAGTGATCCAGATGATCCAGTTCAGACCATTCTGTGAATTGTCACCTGGTATGTTAGCTCAAGCCGCCTGTTGTAGCAGGTTTATGCATGAATTTGACCTGCATTAGGGTATCACTGGGTTACAAGGGCATGTTCTGTGTGGCTGATACTGACACAACTAGAATGGGGTTTGACATCAGGGGACAGTAACCGACAAACAGAAATCTGTAGTATGTTAAGCTGCAGAGCCTTTTGCTTCATGAATGTCAAAGCTCTGGAGATCAGATGAGATCTGTCTGCTGGAGAGATTTAGTAATGAGAAGTTAACCTCAAAAACTTCCTTTCTCTTTGCTTGTTTGCTTTTTCTTTCTTTGCTGCTTAAGAATTAAAACCAAATTTTCTTTGTTTCTGATCATTTCCTTTTCTTTGTGCATCTTTCAGATATTACATTGATGGAAGAAGCCGTCCTGGAGCTTAATACCTACCTATCACATGAAAATGGACGGCTGCAGGAGCTAGCCGATATTCTTCAGGAGAAGCACCGCATAATGTCTCAGGAGGTATAATAAGGAGAGAGAAAGAAATTTGCTTTGGGGTCCTGCTTATAATAATTTGTGGTTACCATAGTTTGAAAAGCATGTATTGCCTTGAAGAGGGACAGGAGCAGCACAGTTTTGAAAGTTACCTTCTGAATGAAGCTTATGGAAAGGGTGGGTGAACTGTGTAGAACTGTACATATATTTTTCTATACAGTTTAAATTGGTATGCTTGCTACATCACTGAATGAAAGTATAGTCATATTGGTGAGTTGAATGAATGTGATTTCAAAAGAAAATAGCAGAGGAAGTGGTAAGGTGATGCTAAGGTGGTTGTGTAACATCTGCGACTTTTGATGTTATATCCCTGTCATTTCATATTCCTTGATTTCTCTACATCATATCTGAAAGCATAGTGACATTAATTGCAAGATGATCCCTGTCATTAAGGGCTTCACATTATTGCCAGTATTTGTTTCACAGGTTGCAGTTCTTTTAAAAATTTTGTTAATGCTGGCCTTCCTTAGCATTAGAGCACCATGTACTTCAGTAGTGTGCAAGAGTAGATGAACATATGGATTGAAAAGATTTAAAAAAAAAAAAAAGCCTTTGAATAAGCTTTGAAGTGGTTCGCTGTCTAGGCTGTCAGATATTACCAGCTTGTTGCTCTTTCTCCATTTCAGTTTTATTTTCAGTCCTGTTTTTGTTACTGTGTTGCGATTCAGCTGGTGTAAAATTCGGGACAGTTCACTGAGTAGTCTGTTGCCACACCAAAAGATGGTTGGAAAGCATATGAATCCAGGGTATTCAAGATAAAAAAATTAATACTGAGCAGTCTCAGAAAATGCTTCTAATAGAATTACTCTGTTCAGTTGGCTGACAGAAACACTCTTCTGATTGCAGTTCTCCAAGCTGCAAGAGAGAGTGGAGACAGCAGAATCTCGGGTGTCTGTTCTGGAGACTATGATTGATGACCTTCAGTGGGATATTGACAAGATACGCAAGAGGGAGCAGAGGCTCAACCGGCACTTAGCAGATGTTCTGGAACGAGTAAGCACCATCCTCTTTGTCAGGAAACCAAAGAAATGGGTGTAATTTTGAGATGTGTGGCATCATCTTATGGCACGTTGCTGTGAGAACTGAGAATCTGTAGTGTGCTGTCTTTGGTCTTGAATTTGCTGTATCAGCACTCTTGGCATTTATTTGGATACTGATGAAATCTGTTAACTTTTTCTTCAGGTAAATTCCAAAGGCTACAAGGTGTATGGAGCTGGGAGCAGCCTCTATGGGGGCACAATCACCATTAATGCCCGCAAGGTAATGTTGTAGGCTTGGTTGTGAGGAGAATTAAAGTCAGGGAGAGTTTGTGTGTAGGGCCATAAATTGGAAGAAAATTTAGATATCTTCTTTGTCACAAGTCTAGGTGACTCTGGGCAAGCCATTTTGTCTCTCTACAAATTCCCTACTTAAAAAACAGACCTGATGGCTGTAGACTGTCTCACTCTGTAGTGTTAACATGGCTCAGTCTGTAATTACTGTACCTAGTTAGTACTCTCAGTAGATATAACAGGAGGATTTACAAGCAGTTTATCCCCAACAGTTTGAGGAGATGAATGCAGAGCTGGAAGAAAATAAAGAGCTTGCTGGGAATCGCCTCAAGGAGTTAGAGGAACTACGCCAGGATCTTGAGGAAGTAACAACACAGAATGAAAAACTCAAGGTGAGACATCAGTACCTGTTATGAAGATGAGGGTGTTCTGTGTGGTTAAGTTGCCCTCTGTCTTGTGAACTGTGTCTTTGGAAAACCTCATTAATACTATTCTACTCTGTGCTTGGTTTTTAGCTAGGTTGTATTTTGTAGAAGTTCACAGATTTGTGAGACACTTGCAGTTCAGTGCATTGGTGACACCATGCGGTCATAGTTGGAAATATGTTTCTTATTTCCTGTTTTCCATTCTGATCTGTTAGCTAGACATCATTAAAATATACTGAAAACTAATTTTAGCTTTTCAGAAGTACTAACCCCTTTTCACTTCCCCCCTTCCCTGTGCAAGTGGAATCAATGCACCGAAAAAAAAAATCCATGGACCTGTGTAAGAGAGCTTGGCTCTAGAAAGAGTCTGTGAACTTAAATCTTTCACTTTGTGGCAGAATGAATAGGTAGGAAGCAGTGTATGAGTTTCGTATGTCTAAAAGGTAGTAGCACAAAAAACTGTGACTCTGTAGTATATGAGTATATGATACAGATAATCAGATTTTTTCTTAGTGATCTGTTAGGCTGTGATGAGAAACATCTGAGCTTATGACTTAAGTTTCAGAGATTAGATTCCAGAAACTGTCTTGAGGCGCTTCTGAATTCTGTTTATCCACATGAGTTTGTTTTGAGAGATACACCACTTGGCTTACAGCTTCCTTTTTCTCTTAATTAGTGTTAAGATATATGTGTTTATGTATGTGTCTGTTTCACTCTGGTAGTCACAATGATTTACTAATCTTTTTTTGGTCAGGAAAGCTCAGATTCTGTACTTCTGTTTCTCTCATTTCTCTTCCTTTCAATCGTTACGGTTTTCACTGGTAGAAAGCTAACGTAATGCCTACATGTATTTTCTGTAGTTTTCTATCATACCTTTCTAGGTGTCCGTCTTTATTGATTTAGGTGATTATAGTTTTACAGTAAGTCCACTGAAAAGGTATATCATGTTTTCCAAGCTCATATCTTTGAGAGAAATTGTTGCAGAACCTGAGAATCAAAAGCTTTAGTCATGTGACTATGCCAGAGAAACAGCCTGCTGGAATATGGAGAAAGCATAGATTTCAAATTGGTATTGAAGCATCTACTTCATAGCAATGTTGTTAAAGTTCTGCTTTTTTCTTTGCTTGTGGCAGCTTACTTCACTCTTCTGCTACTTTGCACAGTAGGTATTAAACACAAGAAAATACGTTTTCTTTCTGTGGCCTTTTGTTGTGTCCTGACTAGGTTGAGTTGCGACGAGCAGTGGAAGAGGCTGTGAAGGAGACCCCGGAATATCGCTGCATGCAGTCACAATTTTCTGTTTTGTATAATGAGAGTCTCCAGCTGAAGGCACACCTTGATGAAGCCCGCACTCTGCTTCATGGTACTCGTACCACACATCAGCGCCAGGTGGAACTGATTGAGGTAGCACCTCTGTCCTGTCAGATTAGGGAACGTTTTCATCTCTCTGACCATCACTACTGGGTCTGGGTGGCTCTAGGAATGGTCAGGAAATTTATCTTCCTGGCAATAGTTCATTTGTTCTCTGGTAGCTCATGTTCATGAGCAAATGATTCCCCAGTGTCACAGCACCAAATTCTGTCCCCTTCTTACTCCTCAGAGGGATGAAGTCAGCCTTCACAAGAAACTGCGCACAGAGGTGATTCAGCTAGAGGACACCCTGGCGCAAGTCCGCAAAGAATATGAGATGCTGAGGATAGAGTTTGAACAGACACTTGCTGCCAATGAACAAGCAGGTATATAGTTTTTCTGCTATACTTAAAACCAAACAAACACCACCACCACCACCACTCCTGCCCGTTAGGAGCTGTACTGTGTAAAACACCTGGTTTGATTCTTTGTCTTTTATTAAATACTTATCCTGGCAAGTTTCTATCTCAAAAACCCCAAAACTCCTCATGTTTTGTGGTAGGCCAGTTGCATGTTATCTGACTTCTTTTTAGATACTTCAAAATACACACACTTTGCTAACAGTTTGGTTCATGGCAGAGTATTTTCCATTATTAAAGTACTCTGGGGAGATTCTTTCAGCTCTGGGGCCCCTGACACAAGAGGGACATGGACCTGCTTGAATGAGTCCAGAGGAGGGCCATGAAGATGATCAGAGAGCTGGAGCACCTCTCCTATGAAGACAGGTTGAGAGTTGGACTTGTTCAAACTGGAGAAGAGGAAGCTGTGGGGAGACCTTAGAGCAGCCTTCTAATACCTAAAGGGCGGCCTGCAGGAAATCTGGAGACAGACTTTTTACAAGGGCTTGCAGTGACAGGACAAGGGGGAATGGCTTAAACTGACAGAGGGAAGATCTGGATTAGACATTAAGAACAAATTGTTCACAGGTTGCCCTGAAAAGCTGTGTTTGCCCTCTCACTGGAAGTTTTCAGGTTCAGGCTGGATGGAGTTCTGAGCAGCATGATCTAGTGGAAAGTGTGCCTGCCCGTGCTAGGGGATTGGAGCTAGATTATCTTTAAGGTCCCTTCTATCTGCAAACCATTCTGTGGTTCTGTGATCTAGAAAACATCTAAATGACAACCTGGATAGGAAGGCAGTAACTTTCAAATTTCATTACTTGAAATAACTTCTTTATTTCTAAAGTAGCATTTAAATTATAGAGATTTTTGTAGCATGACACTTTTCACTTAGGAACATGGGGGAAGAAAAGTAATGTTAATGAGGAAATTGGGACTGGAAATGCGCAAGGACTTACAGTTGCATGTGAAGCTGGCATGACTCTTCTACACTTGCTCTTTTCTACACTTGCTCCACTGTGTGGCAGAATGATAATAGTTTTATTTTGGTTCTTCATTGTTGCCACTTAGCTTGTTCCCCATCTCCATGGGAGTGTCTCAGAAACTTGGCAAAAGTGTGTTTTGTTACAATTGTGTTTCTGTTTCTGTAGGTCCAATTAATCGGGAGATGCGTCATCTCATCAGCAGCCTCCAAAACCACAACCACCAGCTGAAGGGAGAGGTGTTAAGATACAAGCGCAAACTGAGAGAGGCCCAGTCTGACTTGAGCAAGGTATCAGAGCACGAAACGCTGGGAAAGAGCAGAAAGTGCTTTGGAGAAAGGGGAATGCTGTCAGTCTTGCCTGCAATATTGACTTTTCTGATACAGCATGCAGTGTAACTTTTGATGGAGCTCTACACTCTACTTTAAGCTTCCACTTACCAAATGAATGGTCTTCCTTTGTAGCAGTAGAATGCTCCATGGAAAGTAATAGAAACTGTGGAGAGAGCGTGCAAGCACAGATCTGGGTAGACAAAGGGAGGGAGATAAGGTAGACTTCTGGTGAAGAACTTAATTTTTTTTTTCTTTCTTGCTGTGCTGCAACAGATCCGCTCTCGCAGTGGTAATGCTCTCTTGCAGTCCCAGTCCAGCACTGAAGAAACAAAAGAGGAACCTCCAGAGATCAAGCAGGAGCCTGATGATCTTTCTGCCCAAGTGTCTGTCCCCAAGGCCACTTCTGAAGATATTACTGAAATGAAGGCTAGGCGAGATGAAGAGGAACGGGAGCGAGAGAGACGGGAGAGGGAGAGAGAACGAGAGAAGGAAAAAGAGAAGGAGAGAGAGAGGGAGAAGGAGAAAGAAAAGGAACGAGAGCGGGAAAAGCAGAAGCAGAAGGAATCTGAGAAGGAGAGAGAATCCAAAGAGAAGGAGAAAGGGAAGCATGAAGATGGAAGAAAGAAGGAGGCTGAAGTGATCAAGCAACTGAAGGCTGAACTAAAGTAAGAGTTGTTGTCCCTCCCTTTCCTGCTTGAGTAGTGCTCAGACTGAAGGGTTTGTGTGAGATGACCTTGTAGCTTACGAGATCAGCTTCACTGAAGCAGAGAGGTTCCTGGCACCCTCTATGTCTGATTGTGATTTGGACAACCTAAAACATGAATTACCAAACCATTTACTTCATGATGTAAGCCAAGTAATCTTTAGTTTCTTCTGGCATAACAATTGTTTAAAGCTTTACAGCAGTAGGTTATTAGTAAAGGTCACAGTAGTCTTCATTTGCCTTGAATCAGCACTAAAGCAAAAGTGGAGAGTTTGTTGCTTCCTGTTACAGTATATGTTTCTTCCACACCCCAATTCTCTTGACTTTTCAGTCCATGGGCCTGAACGTGCTTCTTTTCAGTTTTCAGGCTGTACTCCTTGGCTAAAAGAAGCCAAGGATGACTCCATATACGTACCATATGGGAGATAGAGAGAATATTGCTCTTGAGTTTCATGCTGGATATGTAGCAGTGTAGCTTTCCTGCTTGTTCTCACAGTTGCCTATCTCTCTGCTTCCAGGAAGGCCCAGGAGAGTCAGAAGGAGATGAAGCTGTTGTTAGATATGTACCGTTCTGCCCCCAAAGAGCAGAGAGACAAAGTACAGCTGATGGCAGCTGAGAAGAAGGCAAAAGCTGAGGTAAATCTCATTTCTCGCCTGTTTTTTTTCAGTGCATTACTTGAAACTTCTTTTTGGATACTCTGCACCTGAACTGTGTTGCTTTTGTCTTTGTCAAAACTGAATATTGTTTCTCTTCTCAGCTTTGTTACTTAGGAGAGAGGTTGGAATGGTCAGGAGATGAACAGGGAAATTTTAGGATGTCCTCCCCGGGAAGGGATAATCCCTTTGCCCATGCTGAGGGATGGACATGGCTCCATCTTTCTCAGTTTCAGATTCAACCTGTAGCAAAGCCAAGCACTTGTCCCAGAGGCATACACATACAGAGGTCACTGACAGCCCACAGTGAAGCTGCTACCTTCAACAGCATACAGGACTTGCAAAAGATAACCATAGGCAGCCAAGTTCCCTTCCTTCTCTTCAGCCAGTGGAGATAGAATGGCACTAGCTCAGGCACACGCTAAACAATGTGTAGGTACACAAGCACATGTGCATTTGTACATCCCTCAAGTACCAGCATGTCCCCTTGTGTTTGATACCCCCTGTGATACCAGGCCCTTTTACCTTCTGCACATACAGGTCTCACCAGTAGCTAGCACTTAATTCTGTTGCAGCACACATACGCATGGTGTAGAGAGTTAGATTATGCAGAAATAGTTAAAAAAATATTTAATAAGAAGATATAAGAAGGTAAGACAGGCTGCAGTGATCATGCGTAGGGCTGACCCAGACAAGTGTGTACTGACTGGCCACATTTTACATGTGACTAGCTCCTTTTATGTCCTTCTTTGCCTAATCCAATTTTTTTTCATTCTTGCTCTCTCTTCCTCTGTGTTTCTCTCCTGGGTTTGTACAACTCTATCGATTCCCACAGTTACCCCAGTCCAGGATCCACCCCTATTTTACAGCCATATCAATTGCAAAGTCCAGGTTTATCTTCCTGGAAGTGGTGCCTGTAGTTTCTTGGTAACCCATCAGTTACTGTGACTGGGGAGTTTTTTTGTCTTTGCCTCCATGTTTGTTTTGTCAGGTCTGTGTCTCTGTGTATTTTGTTTCTAGTTTCCTCTTCCCTCCTGCCTGTTTCCCAGTTGACAGGATTCAGCCAGATAACCTTGCTATAATAAACATTCTCACACCCTCACTTGCTCTTATCAGTTCATGTGACTGACCAGGTTTGGTTCTCATCTTTGCCTTTTGACCATTTATCTGTCAGGTTTGTCTCCGTAGGTTTTGCTTGTGGCTTCTTCCTTATTATCACTTTTTGTATTGAAAAAGGTTCTTGACCAGATGCCCTCAAAGGAGCAGATGCTCTCCATCCATGTACCCTCACATGTAGCACTGCAGGACACTGATGTTCCTATTCTGATGCTGTAGAATTTTCAGAGGGTTTGAAATCAAGATCTTGGGCCTACAGCCCATCTTAACGGTCCGTCTACCAGTAATACACTTCCCTGCCAATATGAGATGGGTTCTCTTTTTCCATCCTTTGAAAGCAGTTCTTCCAGTGTTTCAGAGAATTGTGGGGAAAAAAGGCTCTTAACAACATTAGCCAACATTCTTGTATTTAGTGTTATTTGTGTTTTTTCCTTTCTGTAGCTGGAAGAACTGCGGCAGAGGGTCAAAGAATTGGAAGACAAGGAGAAAAAGGAGAGTAAAAAGATGGCTGATGAGGATGCCCTCCGCAAAATCCGAGCAGTGGAGGAACAGATTGAGTATTTACAGAAGAAACTAGCCATGGCTAAGCAGGTGAGAACTTTCTGAAGGTTTCTGCTGGAGCATCTGGGAAGGAACTACCTTCAGGTTCCAACCGGGAAGATTACCTGAGAGAAGGAGTTTCTGTCTCTGTATGTGCCAGAGGTGTGAGTTTTGTCCCTGTTTATCAAAGGGGAAAAGCCAAAAGAAAACCGCCAACTATCAAAAAAACCCCACAATGCTAGGGTGTCACAGACCTCATGGCAGGGGCGGTGGGGAATGTTTGTTTGTGGCCTACATGAAGAGCACAGAGGAGAGAGGTCTGTATCAGTCTTTATGGGAGGAGGTTACAGTTTCTTTTTAAAAGTATTACCTGCACAGTTCATATAATTCATACATGTGCATGGTACTGTGGCACACCTTTTTCCACAAAAAAAAAGGCTTAATCTCATGATAAGAAAGCAGGAACACCTCAGTAGGGGAGAGGCAAGGCAGGGTACTTGACTGTACTTTTTTAGAATTCAGATTGTTTTCCTTATAGTACAAGACTGTTCTATCTTGTCACTTTAATGTTGAGGTGGCTTAACTGAGTTTAAGGGGCTTGGCAGTCTGTTAGTTGGAATCTGTCAAGCTGTCCACATGTAGAATCTTTGGCCAGGTGGATATGACAGCTGTTTAGCTAGCTCCCTGAAGTTGAGAGTTGTTTTCTGCCTATCTCTGGCAATGAATGTGTCACAGCTGAATTTGCCAGCAGATAAGCCACAGTCTGTGAATACTTGTGGCGATAACCATCTCTTTTCTACAACTTCTAGTTCAGGGTATATCTGCTGTGTGTAGACTTCTAAGGAATGCTTTTCTTTCTAATTGCTGGGAGATACTGTTCTCTAATACTGAGACATGTTCCTTCTTCTGTGCCGGGTTTGGTGTCTCTGAGTAAAATGTCCAGGGTCATTGTAGGGAGTACAGGAGACAGTTTTACCAGAGCCTGGGATTCTTATGCAGGAGGAGGAGGCCCTGCTGTCAGAAATGGATGTCACAGGCCAAGCATTTGAAGACATGCAGGAGCAGAACATCCGTCTGATGCAGCAGCTGCGGGAGAAGGATGATGCCAACTTCAAGCTGATGTCAGAGCGCATCAAGTCCAACCAGATCCACAAGCTGCTGAAAGAGGAGAAGGAGGAGCTGGCAGACCAAGTTTTGACACTGAAGACTCAGGTAACCTGGGAGAATGAAAGAGGACAGTGGAACTGACAAGGAAAGGTGGAGGTGTTGCAGGTTAACTCTGGTAGGCAGCTAAGCTCTACACAGCTGTTTGCGTACTCCCCCACAGTGGGATCGGGAAGAGAATCAGAGGGGCAAAAGTGAGAAAACTGGTAGGTTAGATAAAGGCAGCTTAATAGGTACAGCAAAAGCTGTGAGCACAAGCAAAGCAAACCAGGTATTTATTCACTGCTTCCTATGGCAGGCAGGTATGCAGCCATCTCCAGGAAAGCAGGACCTTACCATGTGTAATTCTTGCTTGGGAAGAAAAACACCATCACTTTGAATGTCCCCCGCTTCCTCCTTTCCACCAGCTTTTCTTGCTGAGCACAAGCATCATGTGGTATAGAATATTCCTTTGGTCAGTTTGAGTCAGCTGTCCCACTGTCCCATCCCAGCTTGTGCACCCTCAGCCTACCTGATGGCAAGCAGCATGAGACAGAGAAGGTCTTGATACTGTGCAAGTACTGTTCAGCAGCAGCAAAACCAGTAGTGTGTTACTGATGCTGTTTTGGTCCCAGATCCAAAACATAGCACCAAGGATACTGGTTTCAACAGTGAAACAGGATGTTGGATCACTGGTTCACTGCCTTGCAGTGATTCTGTAAGCCACCTTCCAAAAAATAAGACTTTTTTGTTGAGAATATTTGGCTGCTAAGTTTTTAAGTGTTTGCCAGGGAGGTCTGGATACAGCTCTTAGACTGCTAATGTGTCTCTTCAGGGAGAAAAAGGTATGCTGAAGAGGTACTCCTTGGTGATGGGGAGGCAGGGATAGTTTTAGCATTCAGTTTTAATAACAACTCTGAAGACCTACAAAGCATGCGTTTTGTTCCTTCTCTAACTCCTCTTTCCAAGGTGGATGCCCAACTGCAGGTTGTACGTAAGCTGGAGGAGAAGGAACATTTACTGCAAAGCAGTATTGGAACAGGCGAGAAAGAACTGGGTCTCCGAACACAGGCCCTGGAAATGAACAAACGCAAGGTAAGTTATTGCTTGATTTCCTCTTGGATTGTAAGATGAAGTTGTTGTCTTGTGGGAAGCATAGAAGGCTCCTAGCTCTCACTCATACTATGGAACATGATATTCCCTGGTTTTCGACTAGTATACTAGAATGCTGAGGAATCCTGAAGAGAGTTCTGATTAAAGTATTGTAGACTGATTTTTCCTTTGATAAAGGGGAGCAGGTCATAGGTGTTTCTGTGAAAATCTGATTAGGGAGCAGAAGTAAGGTGACTTTAAAAGGAAACCTATTGTGAAAGAAGCAGCAGCCAGATGAAATTAACTGGGGTCAGAGTTTTTATAGGAAAGATGGGGTAAGTAAAAGGAAAATATGGCTGGGGAATGTTAAGACCTTTAGCAAATGTCTAAGATCAATGAAGTAGGTCTCTTACAAGTAAAATAAGACTAAGTCTCAGGGTTGATGCTGCCCGTGTTGTTAAATCTTCAGTAGAAATGCAGCAGTGACATTAAAACAGATAGAAAGGAAAGCAGAAGTATCACCGTGAAGTAGAGATGGGGCGACTTAAGCACAATGATTTCTGCTTAGTGTCTGCTTAGTACAATTGTGGTATTGAAGGAACTTGGCTAATAGATTAATTGGTGAGGCACAGTTAGAAAGTAATAGAACTGGTGGAAAGGGAAAATGATTAAAAATAAACACTTATCTTGCAGTTCTGTCTAGTTCAGCTGTAGAACTGCCTATAAATAATTTAGTAGGGAAAATGTAGAAGGTGGAAAGCTAAAAATACTTGAACAAGAGAACTGTGTGGTCATCAGTATTTTTTCAAGTGATGTGCATTGCAGTGTGACAAGGGTTGGCTCTACTGAAGAGTAGTGTTTAAGCTCAGTGGTTGGAACTTGTAAATAGTAAGATATTTTGCTGTTGAAGTAATGTTTAGGGCTTAATTCCAGTTATTCCATTTGGAAGTACCAAAATTGAACTGAAAATTGTATCTCCAGCTGCCTGATGAATATTCTGTGAGCAGTCTCGGATTCCCAGGCAGAGGGACTAGAAATCACTGGAGCTCTTTTTCCATGTTTGGTACTTCCTATACTGGTTTTCTCCTTCAGGCCATGGATGCAGCCCAGCTTGCAGATGATCTGAAAGCCCAACTAGAGCTGGCTCAGAAGAAGTTACATGACTTCCAGGACGAAATTGTGGAAAACAGAGTAACTAGGGAGAAAGAGATGTTTAACTTCAAAAGGGCTGAGGTATACACCTGATGCACAATCCTTTAATACCTGTCTACTTTGGTGTCTGTCCTCTGGTAACTGAATTTGGAGTGGGTTTCAACTACACTACTTTCTTGGGGGTCCAGTTTCACTTTGATTTCAGCTTCATCAGTTTTGTCCACTGCTAACTGACAATACATGTAGGACCAGATTATAATGTAATCTTTTGGAAATCTGTTGGACTATAGGGGATGAAAGTATGGGTGGAGTGACCTGGCCAGGTGCTTGTTCTCTTTTGTCTTTGAAGAAGCTGTGACTAAGCATATATTGCTCATTTGTTTGGTCTTTTGTTTCTATGCAGGAAGATATTTCTAGGTTACGCAGGAAGCTGGAGACCACTAAGAAGCCTGACATGGTTCCTAACTGTGATGAAATACTGATGGAAGAAATCAAGGATTACAAGGTGAGTAGCTGTTTCTATAAAATTCCCTCTTTAACGGTACTTTAACCAAAAGGCTGTGTAGTCATCTTTTCAGTATTTGACATCTTGTCTCTATACTCTGGTGTTGTAGCCTTATCTTGTATTGAAGAAACCACCTTATTATGGAATGGAAGGCCATTTCACCTTCAGTTATCATCTGACATACACAGTGCAATGCATTGGGCCTTCATTATAATGTTTCTGTCTTGCAGGCCCGCCTGACGTGCCCATGCTGTAACATGCGCAAAAAGGATGCTGTGCTCACGAAGTGCTTTCATGTCTTCTGTTTTGAGTGTGTGAAAACACGCTATGACACCCGGCAGCGTAAGTGCCCCAAGTGCAATGCTGCCTTTGGGGCCAATGACTTCCATAGGATCTACATTGGTTGATTCTGTCCATAAAATGATTCCATTCTATCTAGAATGATGAAAAGTTACTGCTTGTATTGACCACTCAGACTCCCCCATTTTCTGTTATTGTCACCTTTGGGGCAGTCAGTGCTTCTGTCAGCTGATCTGCAGTCTCTTCTGGAAAGTAGCGTTAGGGTATTGGGAGAAGCATATTCTGGATCTTGGTTCCCTTGCTGCTTTTCTTTTACTCTTGCTCTCATTTTTTGTGGATTCCTTGTGCTTCAGAGGACATTTGCTGTACATCACCTTGACACTGGCGGGTTGGGAACATCTAAGTGAAGTCCTGCCTTGATGGGATGAAAGCTGTGGTGCAGCAGAGATAAATGAGGCTTTTATTTGAGGAGTTTGCTTTGGATGTTCTTTATTAAATCCCATCAAGGTATGGTAATGTTTCTGAGAGTTAACAGTTTCCTAACTAATGGGCCAAATAATGAATGTATAGGTACATCTGTAGACTTCAGTGGAGTGACTCCTTACATATATAACTCCCACAGTCAGGTTGAGGTATTGCTGTTATTGTCCTGTTTCCAGAAAAGAATTTGTAGGGGTTACTTTGTTGCAAATTTGCCACAGAGATTAATCTTACAATGCATAAAATCTAATAAAAAACTATTTTCTGGGTGTTTTTCTGGGTTTCCTTGTCTCTGGTAGTATCTTGTCTGTGCTCCTGTCCTTTGTCTGGTTACTGGAAACATTCTTCATAGGCTTTAACCTTCTATAGTAGAGAAATCAATTTATTCCTTCATTTGTTTTCAAAAAATGCTTACCTAAAAGAACCTTTGCTTTTTTGGCTGTATCTTCAGTACCTGATTCCTGACACAACAGAAGGACCAAAATGCTGGATTATTTATACGGTCGTTTTGTCATGGCCACTAGGAGTTTTGTGAAAGGACATAGCATAGGGTATTGTCTCTATTGCTCCTTGTAGTGCAAGGCTGCATTTGAATTCTTGAACAACAATCGCTCTAAAAACATGAAGTAATTTATTTACAACATTCCTTCATAGAGCAGACTTTTTCCTGTAAATTTAATTTTCTTGGAAGGTGCAGCTGTTAGGTTTGTCTTATCTGTGTCCCTTCCCTGAATCATAAAATCTGTATTACCTTCCTGTATTCACTGTAGGGAATTATAGAAACAATAGTAAAGTGAAATGCAGACTGTCTTACAGTATGCGTTATTATCTTTGTGAAAACATTCAGAAAATATGAATAAAACCTTGTAAATAATTGTGAATCTTGAGAGGGGAACATGTGACCCTGTCTTTACAAAGCGGGGCTGGGATGCTGGGGTTTATAGTATGGCTTAAGTTCTGCTACAGCATGTGTAGAAGAAATGAAAGTAGAATCCTCTCAGCTTTCACTGGAAGTTTGTCCATCAATTACAGTTTGCAAAGGCAAGTTGGAGAAAGAATAGTGCATTAGGAGTACTAATGCTGGTGGTAGGTTTTTTTGGTACAAGTGCTTGTTCATCAAAGCCAGGTCCTGGGTCACCATCAGGCATTGTCTGGATCTTCAAACAGCTTTGCTGTAACAGCAGACTTCCTTTTACAGCCATGAACAGCAATCTGAATTAAACAGCTCTTGCAGAGTTAGGAAGCCCCTTTACTCTTTCTCACACATTTAAGTCACATCACCTTTCTACTGAAAATCAAGGTTGAAACTTTTGTGTATATGTTGTTAGTGTTGGGTTCACTCTGGTCATGGTAAGAAAAAAGCACTTGAAAGAGTCTGAGGCTTGGGAACCCCTATTTTTTTCTTTCCTCACCAAGACAAATAAAATACTTTAAAATAAGAAAATATAAGCTTAGGAAGTCCTTGAAGCTCATTTGGGAAGTGACTAAATATTTCTTTCTGCTTATCAATTTAAACATTGAGAAGCAGTGAAAATTTTAGCTGGTCTTTTGACTGGTCAGAATGAGTGGAAATAATTAAAGGTTTATCAAGACTAGAAATATTTTTGGGTAAAAGGGAGATGATGACAAGTTTATTAAAAAAAAAAAAAGTTTAAATTCAGTGTCAAGGACAAAGTGTAAACAAAGAAAAAGCCTTATCTACAGTCTCCAGTACATATTCTTGTCATAGCAAATCCTCCCCCAGCTTATGCAGTTGCAGGCATTGACATGTGTGTGATACTTCCCATCCCATAGAAAGCTACAGCAGTGGTTTTTTTTCTGTTTCCTATGGTATTGGGAGGGAGCAATAGCTGAATAAGAAAATAACATGCTGAAACTTGTCTCCTCCCAGAAGGCTTCTACTTGATGTGGCAGTAATTTGAAGCAGTCCCTATTCTGCATTTGACATAGGTGTAGCCCCTAAGGCATCTCCCAAAAATACAGATTTTTGCCTTAATTAACAGGTGGTTGACATTTTTTAACTTAAATTTTAATTTTTTTAAATGAAGATTGATCTGTTTGAAGATAGGGTGTTTGAACTTTTCTGGGTTTATGAATATAGAGATAAGGGCATAACAAACTGTTAATAGACATACTGATTAAACTGCGCTGAAATACCTATTTATTAGCATTTGTCTCATAATAATGAAAAGAAAGGAAGGAAAGGACATCCTAGGTCTCCCGAATCTATCCAATGTATGGAGCTCTGGATCCCCCTTGCCTGTTTTATATCCTAATAACTCTCTCCTGTGTTACTGACTGTATTTGAAAGAAGCAGATACGCTGCCCAAAAGCAGAGGCTAAGAACTGACCAGGGGATAGAATATGAACACCTTTTGATGAAGCTAATTATTCCAGGTATCACTGCTGTCAGGTTTTAGAGGTTCATGCAGAGCTTTCTATTTACAAATGGTTTTCAGGGGTTCAAAAAGGTAGAATGCCTTTTTCAACCCCCCCAAATATATTTTCAGATCAGCCTAAAGCCTTTAAACCATTCATGGGCAGAACATCGGTGCTGGCAACATTCACACAGGTGGCTGGAGAAACAGGGTAAAAAATTACTTTGGTGACGTATCTGAGGGATGCGAGTTAATTCTGACAGTATTACAAATGTTCTTTGTCATACTGGATGTGTTGGGAAGTGTTGGTCAAAAAATTCATAGAAACCCTGTTTAAATAACACAAGTCAGTTGGGTTAATACAGTATTTATTCAGATGCTGAACAGCTTACCCTTCCTTCCCCTCTAATCATCATCCAGGTGGAAGGGAGCTCCACTCAGTACATAGGCTTTGAAACCACAACTCTTGTTCTTTTTCAAAGTGAGCCCTGGCCCACAGGGAGACTTCGGTGTGACTCCCCTTGATTTTGGTGGGAGCTTGGAGTCAAAATAAGTCATGGACCAGAGCCCCTCTATGTCACTTTGGCTGTGAGGAAGAACCTTACTGTCTGCTGAAGACAGAAAATACAAGGCAGTGGTTTCATATTGTTAGATACTTCACTTTGGGTAGTAAATACTGATGTACAGTACTGCCATCCTCCCTTTCCATCATCTTTGCTCTGTGCCACTGAGAACCCATCCCCTCACACTGGCTGGTGCAGCTGTTTGCATGGCTTCTCGCTGGGTGGCAGTGGAAGCCAAACCTGGGCTCAGAAATAGGCAGAGGTGGTGGTTTGGTTTTTGTCAAGTTATTTTTAAGCTGGGTGAGTTCCTTTATCACAGTTACAGAGCAGCCACATCTGCATTTGTGCTGACATAACTGAGGGAATGGTGTGTACTGGGATTGCCACCAAGAATTTGTCTCATGAAACCACAGCATGTGCTAGGAGGGGAGGGATTGCCAACACAGAACTAGCACCTGGTGTAATGAGGCAAACATAAGGAGCCTTAGCATGAACAGAGACTAGACCCATAGATACCACAACAAAAATGTACCAACAAGGGACATGCTTCCAATGAGCAGTTTAAATTTCCTTTTTTTTTCTTTTTTTTTTTTTTAATTCATGCACAGAAAGGGCTAGAAAAATGGAAACCTTGCTATACTGTCAAGTGGAGGAACAAGGAACTCTTGCTGTTTGGATGCTCCTTATTTCTCCAGTTTCTTGGGAATGGCTGATATTTGCCAGGAGAATGATAAACTTGTTATGGAAGGAGGAGGATTCAGTAGGGTGGCTGTGGGCTGCTGTGATTCTGCTCTCATGAAGAGCATATTGCCTGCTTTATTGTTGCACCTCTTTCTGGCATTATAAAAGTGTGTTACAAATTTTACAGAAGAAGGGGAGAAAGGGGAAAGGGCCCAGGTATGCTAGCCTAGGGCTCTGCAGTCCTGTTTGTCCTCTGATACTCTTCCAGCTCTGATTTCCTGTCCATGGCGAGTTGCAGCTCCTGCTTGATGATTTCGATCTGCTTCTCCAGCTCTGTTAGCTCTTCCACCACTGACATCCTACCAATATTGAGGGACTCTGCTTTCCCGTTGGTTGTTAAGGAAGCTGGAGTCTCTCTCTTCACTGGTGGCAACGGGATGTCTTGGTGCTGTTGGATCACCACCTCATTTTGCCCCTCGTCAGTGCAGATATATTTTTTCCGGTGGCTGTTGCCCAGATTGGCTGTATTCCACACAGCATGCTGGCTGTTCCCTACATGGGACCTCAATAGAGATGTGAGAGTTAATATGAAATCTGAGCCTGCCCTGGTGTGTATGCAGCCCTCCCCTGTGCGCCATCTTATTGGAAAAATATGATGCTACCATTATGAATTACACATAAATACCAATAATTCCCTCATCCTTGGGATTATTTTTCTTGAGAAGCACAAATCATGAATGTAAATGGCCAGATTTTTGTGATTAAGCCATAGCAGAGACTAGAACAGAATCCTAGACTTCACCTTCCCTTCCCCAAATCTTTTTTATTAGTTATGAAATTACAATCCTCTCAACTCTAGCTCAGGAAAATGTGTGTGCGCCAAAGCTTTCTGAAAGCTTCTGTGCTTGCAATATCCAAAGTTTATTACAGCGTTAGTCCTTTGTGTGTTAATGCCCTGTGCTAGCTTGGGCATTTGCTCCCATGGAGGAGGAAAGTAGCTTACTAGAGTTAGTATAGAGAGATGAAGGGGAAAGTGTACCATTTAGACTTGAAGTCTTCTTGAGTAGTTGCTTGTGCTTTGCAGGGCGGACATGATGATATGGTGTAACCAAACCTTGCAGGTACAGATAATTCCTGATACAATATTACAGAATTTGGGTTTTCCCTGTTGGGGGTGAAATTCCCATCTGGGACCTTTTTCAAATGCTTCAGTATTTTCTTGTGGAACAGTCTTTCCAAAATATTTTGACTTGAAAGAATCTTTTCCCTCTTTTTTGGGAACTTTGCTCTGCAGCCTTCCCAAATCACGGCACCTCCCAGAATTTGTTCCTGGCTAAAGAAGCACCCTTTGGCCTCCCAGCTGGAACATAAGGAAGCATAGAGTTTACTGTTGTGGGAGAGGAGCTTGGCTTTCCCTCCTGCTTTACCTCTTCGACGCACCTGTATGCATTCATTTTATAAACTGAGGTTTAATGTCACAGGGCCCTAGTTATTTGCCTGCTCTTTACTATGGGAGTAATTAATTGCCTAAAAACGAGCGCAGTGAACTTACTCAAAAAAAAATAACTATAGGATGGGGGTGCTTTTTTTAACTGTATGAAAAATCATGAAAGAGTAATATTTCTAGATTTAATACTTTCTGTTGGAAACAATTAATTAATTTCCACTTCCTTCCCTTGTCACTTCTATTTTGTTTTTTGTTTCTGTTACTTTTGGGGTGTATTAGATCCATAAGTAGATATCCAGACACAACATATTTAATTTCAAAGTAATTTCTGGTGTTTTAAGGCATGCAAAACTTCCTACCTCTTTTCTACTCGTTTTTTCTTATGCTGGCGCTTGTCTTCAATAAATGAACTGTTCAGAGCACGATGTAATCTCTAGAGGAAAAAGAAGAAAATAAATAAGTAAAAACAAGCTAAGAATAGCTCCATAAATAGGTAAACAATTTGGGCTTTGTGTGATGGACTCCAACATAAGTTATTTTGCACAGTCAAGGATACAAGCAGTGTCTGTGCTTTGTCATTACAACAAATTTATTTTCCACAGTTTCCCAAGGAAGGGCAGTCTGAAAGGTTGACGAACAGTGTGAACAATCTTTGCCGTTAAAATTCCTCAGAAGAATGGCAAACCATTACTTTCTAAAGGATCTCTTTCACTGTGATGCTTTAAAGCAGTAGGTCTTTTTTTGTGTTTTGCTTTAAAGTAACCTCTTCTTTTAGAGTAAACACTTAGAGCAATTTTCTTCCATTGTTTTTCCTACAACAGTAAGGAGGTTATCCAGTACTTCCTGCATGCATCAAAAGTTTGGGAACCCGTAACAGTGACAAAAAAATGTTCTGGTTAGCCAGTTCAGCACAACACCAGTGTTGCTTCTGATGTACAAAAGAGTTTTAAGGTTACATATGCAAATAGCAAGGCTTAGCAGTTGTGGATATTTGAACTGTTTCCTCTGTGCTTCTCATTCTGCTGCTAAGTAACTCTCTTCAAATTCCAGAAGCTGCTGTCACATTTGAAATGCTAAACATCAGTTCACTTAGAACCTTTTATACCTTGTTCTTGCCCAAGTTTTCTTAATCAGCCACACGGGGTTACTTCTGAATATGTACCTGACTTGTATGGAGCCAGTATTTCATCTTGGATTTCTTCTTGATTCGTGGTAAGACCAGTCTGTACACAATGTGTTCCCCAATGGTAGTCAGAATGGATAAACCAAGGCCAATGCACAGCATTACGAAGAGCCCAGAAAAATGTTTGATCCCCATCTGGAGCGTCTGTGAATGAAATAAGAAAGTAGGCTGTTAAGTGTATTTTACTAGCTTCTGTTTTCTCATTTGGAAGTGTGGTGTGACTATATCACAGTGGTCACATACTGCAAAATAATGTGGATACTGTTCACAGCAAAGCTCTTCAGTGCTGCAGAAAGCCCAACGTTCAGTCAGAGCAATGGACTTCTCATGGGAATGAGAATCAGCCAAAGACCATGGAAATCTTGTGCAGTTTCCCTAATGACAGTAAGTGTTGAACGCGTACAAGAATCCAGTATTTTTGGTGTCTTTGCATTTGTAAAAGCAAATACTGCTTGACTTGCTCTACAGTCAATGAACTGTAGAGCAAGTCCTTCATTAACCATAAGTTAAGACCAACTGTTCATGTTTTCTGGGAATCGATCATTAACTTCCCCTTTTTGTGCTTTACCCTTGATGGAAGGTCATGAAAAAAATGTTTTGAAGTAGTAGCACAAACACAGCACCTCTCTACATGCTACATCAACAGGACTGAAAACTGTGTTTGTTAGGAGCCCCATCTGCAACTGTGAAAAACAGGAACACTCCCACATTGTCCTGCTGAGTCACCCTTTTCATGTGGAGTAGGAAGCCTTTAATGTAATTGAGTCTCTTAATTCGCATTGATTGTATTTTAAGACCAAAAAAATAGAGCAACAATCTCTACAACACCTGCACTCTGATGTGTAGGTCAGGTTTACATGTTAAGTATAATCTTAGTATCTTTATCCTCATGCCTCTATATCTCAATTATAAGTGTATCAATACCCAAAATCTCTTGCTAATAATTACTGCCCACAGGCTGCTTGGGAAATATTTCCAAGAATTCAAGTTCTACTTGTGCCTTTCTATTAAAGAATGCTGTTCCCCTAGTCAGAAAAAAAAAACAAAACAGGCAGAGAATGGGTTGGGTAGACTTTTATGTCAGGAGATGATATCTGGGATGCTATCATCCCAGTTAATTGACCTCTGTGTTCCTTCAATTTGTTGTTAGTTTGGTGGGTGGGTGGTGGCAGGGATTGTACTTTCTCATGACTGTAACTATAGTTGATTAAAGGTGAGTCTGTTGATGTTGAAGGCTTGGAAATCCCTTTTTGTTCTTTTGTTGGATGACTGTGAGCAGTATTTCGCTCACCTGGTTGTCATATTTTATTTCTATTACTTAAAACACAATGACAGGAGATAGCATATTGCAGATGTTTAACAAGAACAAGGGTTCATCAGTCTAGTAGAGTGAGAACTTTTGTATGTGGCACTGGCAATGAAGTCTTATTTTAGGGGTTCTCTGCCAAAATCAGCCTGGTTGCCCTGCAGTGCACTAAGCAGAATTTTTGGGAAGAGAATTTTTTTACCAGTGAATAAACACTTCAATGGTGTTGAAAGATACAATGGGGATATAAAAGCAATTTCTAAAGAAACTTAGTGCAGCCTGGAAAGGAAAGTGAAAAAATGCACTAGAGTGATTCTGGGATGGAAGGGAGTCAGAGTCTTGGCACAAGTTTTTTCTGATTCTAAGAGTCCATCAGTCCAACTTAAAAGCAGAACTTTCCTCTCAGCATTGGAATTTCTTACTGGCAAGAACTTGTTGTCCCATACTTTGTCTTTCTAGGTAGGGGAATAGGAGGGCAACACAAAAGTCACGGGTGATAATACTTCAGACCACTCAAAAGTGTTTGACTGGAGGTCTGTGTGACCTGACGTCTTTCTTTCAATTAGCAACAGAAGCCCAAATTTTAGTCCAGGTAACATAAAAGCAGAATAAGGCCCTGCATGTGACCTTTTTCCAAGGTCTTTAGAGCCAAGACTTCAGTATGGCCCATCTCTGAATTCAGCACATGTAAACATCTGTAAGAAGCAAAAAGACTATTACCTGTACTAGCTGAGCATGCCAGTTAAATGTACTTTCACTAATTCTCTAAGAAGCATTAATGCAAATCACTTGCCTTTCAAAAAGAATATTCAAAGTCAAGTATGAAACGACTTCCTTAGAGATGTAGAGCTAACAGTAAATAAAAAAATAAATTGAATGAGACATAGAATAATAATAATTAAAAAGGAGTAAGTTTGCTTTGTTTATATGATCCCAGCCTACTATTGTTTGGTGTCATAACAGTCTAAGGGTTGGCACTGCCATTAACTCCCTCGGTGGCAGAAACCTTTTAATCAGCTGGCGAATGTCCTTTTGCTTAGCTACTTGAGAAGTAATGCGAAAGTCCCCAGAGGCATGGGAGATCAGTAAGGAGGCCCAATCTGATAGTGTTAGGTATGGAAGAGAGCATTTATATTGCTCTGAAGATAGGAAATAGTTTTAATAGACTATGATAAACTGCTAGCTATTCAAACTAATAAAAATTAAATAAAGACACACAGTGGCAATTGCAGTGGGGATTCCTGCAAATGTGAGATGTCTCCTCCAGCCTGAAGTCAGTGTTTGATGCCGGTCCAGTACTGCTGCAGAGAGAATATCTGGCCAGCATCTTACATGAAATATAATTCCCTTGTCTTGAGTAAAACTGCTCTGATTTATGCTTATGAGAGTCTGGCTCATTGCCCTGTCAGCTCTGCAGAATAATTTTCTACCTTCCCTAGAAAAAGGTGAAAGAAATTCCAGCACTGGCATCTCACATGCGTTTTTCACTTGTAATGGATAGCTTTTGAAATTGTCCCAAACAAGACATCTTTTCCTAGGAAAGGAAATGCCAAAACAAAGCATCAATAATATTTCATCTGGCAGTAAAGAAGAATGCATTGGAAGAGCTTGTGATAAAGGCTGCACAGTAGAGGGACATTTTTGAGACTAAATTCAGTTGGGAAATGAGGTAGGGAAGAAACAGTAACCACAGTGTGTTTTACAGTATAAGGAGTGATTATTTATCACAATATCAACACATCTGCATGCCCTTGTAGAAAACCAGTTTACCAGTTGTTCATAATTCCTGTAGACACACATGTTAAATATTCAAGGAAACCACCTAATAGAGGCATCTCTCATTTTTGTAGCTTCATGCTGATCAGTACCAGAGCAGCAAGCTCTACAACTTTTTTTGTAGTTTGTGTATGTGTCTGTATATGTGTATATAGAACTGGTTTGGAAAGAGCAGCAATAACCTGGATTCTCTGTGTCACTGCTTTCTCTCTACTGAAGTGGCAGGGGTCAGAGCTGTGTGTGTTATGTCTTTGCTGGCAAAAGAAAATTAACTGATGATTATTTTTTCTTAGAAATAAAAGCCCATAATGTGGTGTATTTTCCATTAGCCTAGGATAAAAACATGGTCTTTGTTCTAACTTCATAATTATAAATTCAGGAGGTAGCTCCTTGCATTTTAGGAGAAGAATCTCAATTATGCCCATGTAAAGCAATAAGCAACCATAGTCAATCCTGTGATGGTTACAGCTAATTGGTGCTAAGCAGTACACTGGCAACAGCCTCCAAGTTATTTTACACTTGCAAATTGGGAAATTGTCAGTTTCTGAAACAAACAAATACAAGAACAGAAGTGGCGGTATCTGCTTCTTTATATATGCTTGGAGAGACTTTTCTAGTTTATCAGCCCATACCTGCAACTGCTACTGAAACACTTCCTGCTGTCTCCTCTGTAGTGATATGCTTTTTCTTTGAGCCCTCAGTAGAAGGAAGGGGATGCAGAGAAGGGAGTTTGATATTTGTATTCTCTTTGAAAGGGGGAGCAGAGACAAAACACAGCACTCAGTGATTTTATTATTTGATTTAATGGGAAAAAACTCCTGCTTTATTCCCTACTACAAGACTGTAAATGGTTTACTCTCCCTGATTGTACTGAGAGGCTGAATAAGTTACTGAGAGGGTGAAGTGGGAATAAATACCTCTGTGGTCCAGCTTTGACTAAGTAGAAGCCTCTAAAAATTTTTGTGGATATTTTGCAGGTTGTCAGCACAGCACTGGCATTGGTGCACACATTCTTCAACCCAAAGACTAAATAAGCAATATCACGTGTGTATTAGTTATAGTAATAAAGTTTTCTGGTTGCGTTTTCCCCACTAGGATTTTAGAAAGCTTTGCTGAGATCAGGAAGTTAAATTTTGCAGAACCTTTGTGAAGAAGGACTTATTCTCAGCTTTATTAGGGATAAATGGATATGAAGGGCAGATATCTAACCTCATTTGGGCATCTCAGTAGGTCTGCAAAATCCTACTGATGTTGATACTTGTATTTAGGTAACTAAGCACTATTAAAACCTGTCCCTCTCTATAGAATGGGGCATTTCTTGTAGCTGCAGAGATGCTGTTATTTATTTATCATTTGTTCTATGGATGTCTATGCTTTCAAGAAGCAGCAGCACTGAAGTAGAATGTATTTAATCTCTTCAGGGAGATTATCCTTAATGAGGACCAGTGACCATGGCTTTAGAGCTTCAATTGCCAAATTTTGAAATACTGTAAATCATTGTCTTGCATCAGCCATAATTAGCAAGAATTAGTACAAGGCAGATTTATAAGAAATTTGTCAGAGTACCAGGAAAAAAAAAGAATATTTCCAAGGCTGTACATTGTCATGTGCCTCTTGTGTGCAGATTTACTTTCTAAATTAAAGTATGAGAATACATCACAGGGTTTGGTGTGGTAAATTGTAAACTGGCTTTGGGGGTTGGACTAGAGGATCTCCAGAGGTTTTTTTCCAGCCCTAACAATTCTGTGATTCTGTGATCCTATCTCATTCTCAAATTAGCAAGACAAGTTCCTTTCTCCCCTTCTTGTGAGGACTTCTGCACTTATCTGGAAAAATACTCCCTTCTGTAATACATCTTTTTCTTTCAAGTTATCTATTTTCTGAGCCCTAGTAGTGAGAAGAAATATACATATAATCTGAATTAGATACTGAGAAGATGTTTCCGTCTGTGATATCACAGGCTGGTGAACCAGGAAAAACAGCTTTGCCTCATCAGGTAGTGAACTTTGGTGTTGTTTTTTTTTCAGTTTCTGCAGGTGAATCTAAATCTGCTGCTCATTTC